CCGCACCCTTGGCGACCCTGTTTGTCTCCCAAGCCTCGGTGCAAGTGTGCTGGGGCCCAGCCAGCAGCTGCAGACCAGCTCTGCTTAAAGGAATAACCGACACATCGCAGTTCTTGGCAGAAATGTTCTTTGATAAAGTGTGTCTGTGGCTTCAAAGAAAACAGCAAACAGATTTACTGCCAAGGATAACATTTTAGGCTTTAAGCAAAAATTCTCTTTTTGGAAAACTTTTTTCCACAAGTGTGACTTGGAATTTCCTGGACTATTTTATATATGATGTGTTTAAAATTTTTTTTATAATGAAATACGTCAGTTCTTGTAATAGCTATGTACACTACAATAGTATTAGTGATGTAGTTCACTACTACATCAGTGAACCAAGATTATCTAAATGACCAATGCATGCCATAAAATATGCACAGGTAAAAGATGCATTTGAAGTGCAAGGGAGACCAATGGATTTTAAGGTAACAGTATGTGAAGCTCACTGAAGTTTCAAATGCTGTATAGTGATCAATCCTTAAGAAACTATCATTTAAGGAACAATGATCCAAACAGGATATTAAAATATCCCTTTTCCAACCACGTACCTGTGTGAAGCTGGATTTTCCTCATGCACTTCAACCAAAACGAGGTTTCACAAAAGACTGGACGAAGCAGCAGATATGAGAATCCACCTGTGTCCAATTAAGCCAGACATTAAAGAGATTTGCAAAGTATAATTCCACTCTCTTCACTAATTTGGGGGGTGGGGCTTGGAAGGTGTTTTTCTCATAGAAGTATGTAACTGATATTACTATATAATGGTTTCATCAGTTTTTTTTTTAATGAATTTATAGACATATCAAATTTCAGTTTTGATTTCTAATACAATGACTGCAGATACAAACCATACAAGCAAAAGCAGTTGGGAGTCCTTGATGATTTTTAAGGACCCAAAGGTCCTAAAGACCAAAAAGTTAGAGGCACTATCTTCAGCCCCGCCCACCCTCACAGGCAGCTAGTGACAGGGGGGCTACCACCCTTTACAAGCCCGGGCCAGCTGCAGCCTTGGTCTCTGAATTCCTAGGCCAGGCTCTCCCAAACACCACGCTGTCTCTGAGTGTGGTAGCTTGGCTTGCCACTTCTAGCGAATAGTCAAAAGGAACCACAAATAAAAGGGAGCTTTGAACGGGCAGGGGAAATGCGGAGAGTGATGAGGTAGAACCGCCTAAGCCGATGCTAGGCTGACTCCATTGCACACTTCCTCTGTTGTCCCCAGTGAGGGGTGAAGAGGAAACATTTTTTTGAAGATGAGAAACAAATGGCAGAAAAGGGACTTACTTATTGAGAGTTTCATGTTTGTCCTTTAAACACTGACCGCGTTTGTGCACTGCCCATCTTGACTGCAGCTCTTCCCGAGGTCATTAGAACTATGAGAGGGGCTGCATTAAAGAAATGGGAACCACCCTACATTTTCTCCCTTACCACTTTTTTTTTTTTAACAAACATCTGTTGTCTTAGCAGTTCTTGGCATTCCTACATCTTCCACCTCTAAGGTAGAGTTGCATTGAGGTGGAATCTGTAAAAAGCACAATATCCTCAAATTTAGGATTCTGCTCTTCAAGCTAAAAATTAACTGAGATTTTTTTATCTTTAGAAGGAGGAAAAGTCACTAAAGCAGGGTAAACATATACTGTGTTTTCTACATTCTCCTTTACGGGGAAGGCAGTTTTAAAACCAAATAAAGCAGCAGCAATAAAAATGGATTTGGGACTTCTAATACTCTCAGATTGAAGACTGAACTGGAAAGAGTAGCTGGTGAGAGTGGGAGCTGTGCCTCAGGAATGTGGCAGGACAGGAGAATACTCATGACGGGAACATGGTAGGGGCAGGAGACAGATGATGCACTGTTGCTTACTTTTTGTAATACGATGGGCAGGGTTTAAGGCTCAGGGAAAAAAGAGCCAAACCCATCGACGTGGTCTTTGTCCACAGGTCTGTTCAGGTGTGAGGGTCTTGTCTCCCAGAAGTCACTTGCCTCTCCTTGCAGCCGTCCACACCCACTCATCAGCCCTGGAATCCAGCACAGTTTGTAAGCTCAGAGTGCAGAAAGCCTGGTTTTAAAACACGGATTAAACTACAACTTGAACCAGGTCCTAACAGACAACATGTCTGTAAAGCAGGGATTGTAAGCAGGTACTTCTAAAAGGTATATTCAGAACTACACAAGAACCACACAAAATTTAGGGAATCAGCAGACCTAAGTTTTGTTTTGTTTTTCCTTCCTTGAAGAACTGGCTTAAAAACAACTTTTTTTTGGGGTGGTAAATAGTAGGTATTTATTTGAAATGAAAAAAAAAAAAGTACCTGGACTATTGCATTTCATCATGTATTGTAATTGTGTTACTCTACCTTTTTGCGTCAGACAGATATACATTGAACATTCAGTTATCACAGAGTGCACACGAGATAGTAATTCTTCAGGCCTTTTACATAACCACCAAGGAACAGGTATTGGATTCTGCAATATAGTACAAAGTCCACAATAAATCCAGTCTTAGCCAGTATCTTCAATTTACTTCTGTTGCTGTACAAATAATTGGCCATTACTAGGGCTTACAAGTTAATAACAGGACAAAAAAATATACATCGCACTGACACAAAAAGTCAGTTGTGTTAATAGTCATGCAACAAGTAACCAAACTTGCTGAAATTAAAAATACTTTCTAAAAACAGTTTTAACGGCATAAATATTTTATACACAGTTCATTTACCAAAACAAAATGTATTTAAATGATACAAAGCAAAAATAAGATTCTACCAACTTTACACATAAGAAAGTGCAAAATAACTTATCGAGAGTGTTTTGCTCTTATCCAGATGGATGGCTGCTATGGGCAGATGTTCTCATCAGAAGCATGACATTACAGCGACATGACAGCTGCATCTGACACATAAATGTTAGAAAACATGGATGGACGATGGGTGGATGGACAGAGGGATGGACTACAAAGGTCAGGCAGGAGCCCTGTGTGGTGCTCTTGGAGAAAGAAGACACACCGCAAAAAGGCAGACACATGTGCTGAGAATGTATGTTGGTGAACAAATTGACCCGGAACACAGGACACCCAGAGGAACAACTAGTTTGTGTATACGAGTGTACTTGTATGTGTGAGTGATCTGTGACTTCTGCACTAGAAGCAAAAAGAAAAGGAACCCCACAGAACGAAGCGGCTGCCCACAGCACCAGCTGCCAGAGGAAGTACTGTCATGAGGGTTTGGTTTCCACTTAGTAGTTATGGAAGTGGTGTTGGAAAGTTTCAAAGTGTTCATCCCATATAACTGCATATTACATAGAGGAATAACCTTCAAGTAACCACATATACACACTCATATATTCAAGTCTTTAAAGAACACCTCTGCCATTGGGTTTGGGGTAAACAGGGTTCATGGACACACGGAGGATGCTTCTTTTAAAAAGTGTAGAATAACACTGCTACAAGTCTTCTACAGGGTGGGACAGGGGCAAAGCCCACAGCCATGTGATAGCACAATTCCTGCAACTGTGAAACATCCAGCGTTACTTATCAGAATTGAAGTAGGATTGGCGGGTGGGGGGAAGTGGGAGGGGAGGGGGGGTAAGACACAAAAGGAAAACAGAACACAGCTTTTCTTCAAGTTAAAGTATTAATGCCAATAATCCTTTTATGTTAACAAGTATATCTGAACTTTTAGAAATGGAAGTGTTTTAATCAGTTTTGATATGTGATCATAAATAGACTGTAGGCTCAAACCTAAGTAAATAAAAGTTTAAATTTAGTAAGCATAAGGCACTAAAGCAGCCTTTGTATTTTCTCTTGGAGACCTAGTTATCAGGAAGAACAAATCTGTTCTTAAGCTGGTTTCAGCCCATTAGGTACAAGATTACTATTGTACCAATGCCTATTTTTGAATGCATGTGCATATATGTGCATTTTAGTGCATAAGTGTGCCTGTCACCAGGGCCTAAAGATGAGAATTTGGGCAAGCCAAAGCCACTGTCCTTTGTATGATACCTCCATGAGAGTGTGAAGGCCTGTTCTTCCTTTCTTGGGCCATAAATGATTCTACATTTTTCAAATCACAGGGCTTTAAGAATTGTTCATAATATTATCACTAAATATCTGAAAATGTTAAAATCTAGATTAACTGTTTCATTTGTTTTATATATATATACATATATATATGTACATAACACACATTTTTAAAAAATTCCACCACCAAAGCCTTTTTTCTGTAAACTAAACTTATCTCTTAGCCCCTACCAGCTTTAGTCTCCCTGGATTTGTGTGTTCTGTATCCAACTAGTAGAACAAATTAAATAACTAAATATTAAAATACTGTAATTATATTCATAGCAAAAACAAAAAAATAGACATTGATACAGTATAAATCTCACTGTTTTCAGGTAGATGGCATTAAATGGTAAAGATTAATTATATTATAAGCAGTTCTGACATGATCCAGTTTTACAACAAGGTTTATTATGTTACTTCTATACACTTTTTTCTTTTTTACCCTTTTTGAAAATAAGTTATAGTAGAACATTAGTGTCACCAAAGACACATACTAATTATGTTCTATGCAAAAGAAGCTAATTTGGGTTTCATGCAAATATATTTCCATTCCTTGAGGCAGGGCCGTGTCCTGCAGGGCATAGATCGCCTGACCACCACTGCGATGCCGAGAAGGTGCTCTACGACCAACTGGCAGTCCCGACAGACTTTAGCAAGCAGCCTCATGACACGGGAACAACACTAAGGTGGTAAGTAACCACGTGCAAGATGCCCCAATATTCCCAGGGTGCCTTACAACGGGACTCTTATTCTCCCACACTGTTCCCTAAAGAAGGTCCATGTTATTTTGGTTACTAGCCTAGTTAAAGTAGAGATACTGCAGGCAACTTGAAAGAAAGAAAGGATATCAGGTACACAGGCTGGGTTTGAAAGGGGGAAAAAAAAAAGACCACAGATAATGTCTTTGAGGATTTAAAAAAACATATTTATAATCAATTGGTGAGCGATGTCAGACAAACCATAAGTAGTTCACTGAGTTAGTGGTTTAGTTTGAAGTCTCATGTTACAAGCAATTAAGTCCTTATTTAGAAAAAAAGGCCTTTACACCTATTTACAATATACAGTTACTTGCAAAGAAGTCAGATTTACAACCATTTTCTAAAAGCCTCTTTTTGCTGTTGTTGGTTTTTCCAAATAAGGATGAGTAGCTCTACAAAAATGAGACGCAAGAAAAGACAGTTAATAAGTGAGGATTTTCTCTTGGAGACAGCAATTGTTAACAGGGAGAATCAGAAATTGAAAATGTTGCTCCTACAAACCACCTCATATTCTTCTTGTGCTGTTCACCTGAATAGTGTCTGCCCCTCTACTGTACTCTACACCTGTTTATTCAATGATCCCTTTGAAATCAATCCTTCACACACGTGGTATGAAGAGATGTGTAAACAGAGCCTGTTCTGATGCCTTCCGCGCTGAGCAGTGACAGGGAATCAGGAAGGGCGTCTACAGACCACGGTCTCCCATCAGCCTGCTGACTTCAGCAATTCCGAGGCCCATCTTCAGAAGAACCCCTCTCGTGCTGTAAGTTGTAGTAACAGTTCTGACAAACACGTACTGGGGATGAGATTTTCAAGCGTTTGATTTCTGATTGGAACCGACTGCACCTAAAGGAAAGACAAAATCAAGCAGTTACAAGTCCTCTCCATGTCTTATCACTGTGCCGAGAAATACTCATTTGAAAACCAAATGGACCACACGGACAGCTTGCAGGGCAATGCCAAGGATCACGCTGGTTCATGTCACGTGGTGGACCAAGGACCAAAAGGAATGATATTATTTGTTTCAGTCCACAAAGAAAAGTAATTATTAGAGCAAGGCAAGCTATTTCTATGGCTGAAGAGAATTAAAAAGAAGTGCCGCTCTTCCTACAGGGGTCTGACTGCCCAGTGGCCATTCTCCCTGTGCGGCCCATGCCCTGTGGGCCTGGGAGGCACGCCCAAGTCTTACTTGGAGCCTTTATCTCTTGGCAGAAGACAACTTACTACCCACTTAAAAGACACTCTCCTCACTATCAAGTTCCTTTGGGCTTTTAAACAGTGATCCACTCTTCAGTCATTTCTTAAAACAGGCAGTTTGGCTTTTCTGTCTGGTCCACACATTCTCATTTTCTATTTATCTTGACAGAATTCCTTGAAGTAGACTATATTTAAGAGATGCTCAAAGTATTTAGTAAGTATTCCTATTCCTGGAATAAAGCAGGGTGTGACCTTGGATATGGCACTTAATCACTTTAAGCTTGGCTTTTCACAAGACTGAAATAGAGTGGTCTATTTCCTCCATGAATCTACCAGGAAAAGTGTCCAGAAATAAATGAAGTGCTGCCAGCTTACAGGGCTTGAAGAGATGCTGTTGGGCTCTGAGGAGACCCCCAGGAGTGCTGACAAGCTCTCTCAGCACCTGGAGGGTCTGCATTTCAGGGCAGGGTGACAGCCTCCTGGACGGCTTCTTCGGTGCCTGCTCTATCCTAACCAAGCACTGTTTGGTAGGTTTTTCAAATAAAGCCTCCATCCAATGCCTGATAGCAGTGGATGATTTAAATAATTACTTATATTCAAACAATATTTTGAAAATAAAATGCTACAAAGAACAGATGTGTGCCAGGGTACATACGGTGGTACTGACTATCAGAAATTACTAGGTCACCAGATTTCACAGAATGGGCTTCACAAAGCATAGAACCATAAGACAGAGTGCTCTGCCAGCTCCACAGAAATTCCTCTAAGGACGGGCTGGCACCAACACTGTGGCTACCTCATCTTGAATCAGACATCCCAAGAGGAAATGTTTAAGACATTAACCTGAAAAAAAAATTAATAATTGTAACACCTTTTACTGAACACCTATACTGCCAGACTCTGCATTAGTACTTTATAAAACTCATATACATGATTTCACTGAGTTCTCTCAACACCTCTGTGAGTATGAGGTATAATTACCCACATTTTACAGATGAGGAAACGGAAGCTCAGAGGATCAGTAAGTTGCCTGAGATGACACAATGGACAGCACCCAGTGAGCAAACGGTCAGTGTAAACCCAAACACCACATCCTTTCCAGTAAGTCAATGCCCAGAAAACCTCAACAACTGGCTTGGAAACAGTTACACAATTCGTGTTTTCTGGAAAGCATCTCCATAGTAAGGCAGTACAAGTGCTGGGGACTGCTGCCTCTGGACCTTTCCTGTTTTCTGCCATGGAAAGTCTATAGGCCCCCTGTGTAAGACGGAGATGACATCCAGGTCAAAGGTGATGGGACAATGAGCTGACTTTTCATACGGGGGAAATAAAAAAGAGCCTGCCCCATACCATACCCATAATAAATTCCAAATGGATTTGGACCTAAAGACCTCAATGTGAAAAACAAAACTTCGAAACCTTTAAAGAAAATTAGAAAGGCTCTTTTTATGATCTCACGACAGGGGCAGATTTTTTTTAAGGTAGAAAAAAGCAGAAGTCATAATAAGTGATAAATGTGATATCAAAATTAAAAACTTGAGTGAGAAAAAAACATATGAAAAGTTAAAACACAAGTCACAGACTGGTGGAAGCTATGTGGCAAGACTTAACGACAAAGGATTAGAGCCCAGAATATACATAAAGAACTCAAGTAGGGAATAAAAAGACACAAAACCTAAGAAAAAAATGGCCCAAGTTACTACCCAAAAGGAAATTCAAACAGCCAATAAACAAAAGAAGTTCCACCTCACTAGCACTATAAGTTGAAAAAACAAAGGACTACTGCAAATGTGAAAACATTTCAAAATACCAAGTACAAATAAGAACTGGGAGGCCTGCATGTCTTGCTGGAGGTAGTGGAGGCTAACAATGCTGTTCTGGACAGTAATTTGGCAACATTCAGTTAAGCTCAAGAGCATGTGTATGACTGATTAATTCCATTGAGGTCTCTCCTCTGAAGAAACTCCACCTGATGAGTTAGAGAGCATTTATTAGCATGTGCATGGCAGCTAATAAATAATTGTTGATAGGGAATAAAATGGAAGAATCCCTTAAAAGTCCAGCACAAGGGAAGTAGATAAATTCTGATATATTCATATAAAATACGTGACAGCAATTAAAATGAAAATATTTGAATAGTTATTACATGGATGGATTTCAGAACCAATGCTGAGTAAACAAAGCGAGTTACAGATGGTGGACAGTACACTAACTGTAAAACTGCACACACACAAAGCTGTAGTACTGTGCATATGGGTGACCACACGCACTCAAAGTATAACATGGAGAAGAGATGGGGCTGGGAGGGCACAAAGAAGACTTCAAACAAATCTACGTTTTACAGGCAAAGATGAAACAGTATCACCCTCCCGTTCAGAGCCATGGGGGACTAGGTATTTCCGATGACTGTTTTTGTATTTTTCAATGCGACCGGAGTATTTCACAATTGCAATAAAAGAGAGGCAGTGGAGACTGGCTTACACTGAGCCAGAAGCCTGTGGCAGAGGCCCCAAGCACATCGGAGCCTCTGTGCCAAACCCACGGAAATAAAAGCTTGGAGCACATCTTACTTCTGGCAGAAGAGCTGCCCGCAGTTCCTGCAATGGTGCCGTCTTTCTGTCAGAGAAAAGCGCACCGAACAGCCCGAACAGCTGTCGCCGCCTTCATCCTTCACCCAGTGGTCAGCGGCAGAACGGCCCGGCTGGTCACTCACAGACCAGCTGAAAACTCGGCCTCGACTGTCACCAACCAGGATCCTACTGTGATCCCTGCAGAGACATGACACAGAGCCACCTCAGGGGAGGCCTCGGCACGGCCACGTGCGCACGAGCCGTCACTCTGGAGGGCCTCAGAGGGTTCCAGTGGGCGTGTGCGGTTGGGGGGGCGTGTGTACGAAGAGACCAAAACAGAACTGAGCCCAAATTTACACTTCCATCTCAAACTTCTCTGGATCAAAGACTGCCATATCTTTGAAGAACAAAGCTTTGTTTTAAATTTGGAATTAAAATGCACACACTGTCAGGTTTCTTCTTTGTGTTTGGGCCATGTAAGATAATGCAAATGAAACCTGTTTTCCCCCAAGACCTGCTGTGCGTGGGCGAAGTCAACGACTCCCTTGGGAAGAGGAGCAGGAGAAGGGCTGACACTCACTTGGAGACGCCCAGGGCGGTGATCTCTGCCGGGTGTGCGTTGTCCTTCCGATCGAAGGCGGTGTGCATAGTGAGCTTGCTCCTGAACACCAGCTGACGCTCCCACCGGTACCCTGGAATGGGAGAGGGCAAGGCAGGACACACTCAAGGGTGAGAAGCCACCATTTGGTAGGTGTATCCTAATTTATGGCGCTCTGAAAAGTTAAGGCGCTGCAACACGCAGTAGAGCAGCTTTTCCACTTCACCCACAAAGACAATATATAGAGGAGGGGAAATCTTCAATGCAAGAAGATATAATTTCTCCAACTGAGAACCTTGTTTCTAACTTCAACATAGTTACCCATAACACAGTTTTATTTATTTATCTGTAAGCAATAACTTGTCTGTTTTTCAAAAGATTTCATGACTTGTGAATGAATATGAAGTTTCTGGTTTGAGATGTTTCTCTTTTAAAAATTCCCCACATATTGCAAAGACCATTGTGGGACAGAATCTTTAAGTCCACTTCACACAAGAGGAAACTTAAGAGGCCTTCTCTGTGGGTGGTCCACGTGACAGGGATGGGCATGGGGAGAGCTAGAGTCCACCGCCTCCAACCCTCCATCCACAGGAGCAAGAAATAGACACCAGACTTCAAGTTACCAGGCTTCAATCGGCTGTAATTCCGCACTTCAATGGGACTGAGGTGGGGGTGGCTAAGGGGACCCTGCAGATGGGCTCTGGTCTGGCCCTCTGAATAGTTCACGAATATGAAGCCGTCTTTCTCATCCAGACTGAGCTGGTCAGACCAGCGCCTGGAGTCATCAGAGCCACTGTCAGTACACCAGACGGCTGTTGCTCGGCAAGAGGCTGCCCGGGGCCTGTGGCTGGTGCTGCTGGGCTGGCTGGGTGTCTCCTTGGGATCCTGGATAATGCTCTGCTCATCTGCTTCTGAATCGCTGCTGTCCTCGTCCTGGGCTTCGTGCCCTGGGTAATGCATTTGAAAATCAAGAAACACACACACGTACCATAGTTAGACCCAGCTTTGCCCCACTGGTATTTTAGTACTACCAGTTAAGATGTAATAGACATAGTATTTTATGCTAAATATGACAATAAAAGAAAAAAGTTGCCAGAATTTTCAGCTAGATTACATACAGTAAAAAAAGAGGTAGATACTCTGAGTTCATAGAATGCTTTGGCCAAAATCCTCAGCCTGGTCTTCATTCTTTCACAATCTGGCCCAAACCTGCCTTTGCGCATCTCTCCACCGGCCTCCTGCTCCCCACTACAGACAGCCCTCTCCACGCAGCCCTGCTCCTCCTCATGGCTAATTCTGCACGTGCTGTTAGACCTATGTAGACTCATCTTCTTATCTCTGTGTATTCTGATGTTACCTATCTTTCAGTGCACAGTTCAAACACTCCTTTCTTTAAAATCTTACTTGATTCCTGCAGCAGAAAGCTAATACTCCATTTCTTCTGAACCCCATTAACATTTGTATGCTTCTCATGTATTTGAAATTCTCACCCCAAACCATGACTTTTGGACATTCTTTCTACAAGACAGTGGCAGTGTGAGAGGGGACCCCAAGAAAGTGCCTTCCATAAAGTGGTCAATGTAAGTAACAACATATATGAATGAATTGCTCATGAACGTTTTAATTTAGGATTTTATTTTTCCCCCTTTTTGTCATTTTGTCTTTTTCCATCTTTGTTATTTTGCATTTCCTCACATCAACTCCCTACTTTGCAATAAAGTCTACTAGTGGGAAAATCTGTTAGAAATAAATGTATGTAACTGGAAAAAAGCAGAGAGACCAAGTACAAATTCGCAGGTACCAGCACACTATACATACATCATTTTTAGCAAGACAAACAATTTGTCTCTCTTCTACTCATTAACACTAGTAGTCTACGTGACTAATTTGAGTAAATTTTTTCCCCCAGCCCAATGGCTTACAATCATAAGCTTTAAGGTCTTCAAACAAGCAGACTTGGGAACAGCTCTGATTTCCAGTGAACCACTGGCTTCCCTTCCCTTTCACCCAGGCAACTGCTCTTAAGCTCTACCATCTCTGCTCTGTCCAAAGCCAATCTTTCCCTGTGAGCTACTTTCCCCTCCACCACTTCTGCCAGACTCTGTCCACAACACAAACATATATGGAGGAAAAAGACATACAGAAGTCTGTCTTCCCTGAATTTGAACCACTCATCTATCTCACTTACCCCATCTTCCACTGTTATTCATGTAAAAGCTTTGTTAAGGGAAGGGAAAGTGACCTACTTCTCACTGGACCACTTAATCAAATGTCTGACACATAATAGGTAAACTCAAATACTTACTGAACTGAACTGAATTTTTATGCCCCCAAACACCCAGATGGCCTTTTCAATGAACTGTAACTGACAATGTAGAAATTTATATGCATTAAAATAATACAAATATTAAAATGTCCTGCCCTTCAGCTCATCTGTTTTCTGGCAAAGAGTATAAACTACTTCAGCTTACAAAGAGAAGTGATTTGTGCCTTTCTGATAGTAAGCTTTTTCCCTTAGTAAGTCTCTCATATTGTCAAACTTACGGTGCATTCTCTGTGTGTAAAACGTTAACCACAATGAGATAATCCAAAGGTCAAACTTAAAAACACTGCTCCTTTCTGATAAATCTTTTTTCCCAATTTTTCTAAATCAAAATTGGGTAACTTCTCTGGAGACTAGCAACCCAAAGTGGGTCTCAGGCTGGTTCTATGATATTGATTCTAATAATTTTGTAAAGAAATAATCTATCTTTATATTCCACTGAAAAATTTGAAGTGCTTCACAACAGTTAACAGACCTCAGAGCACCAGGTTTCTGTTGGAATGAGCAGGCCCTTCCTGAGCAGACCCAGCTGGGGGCACTCGTCTGCCTCTGTGAAGTGTGCAAACACGATCAGCCACCTTGTCATCTAGCCTAAGCCTGCTGAGATATAGGTGGGACAAATGTGGGACTGAGGGCTGCCTCGTGTCCATACTGTGCCCTCCATATCTGCTTCTTACTTTAGAACTGAAGGCCCAAGCTTCTGGTACTTCAGAAAGCTAATCACTCTATTAACTAGGGGCCAGGGAAGCCGAGCATGGGACGGTAGCACACAGAGGGTTGCCCAGCGGACTAGAGGAAGGTTTGCAAGCTGGCCCTGCTACCTCCCCCAGCAGGCAACAGACTGCTTCTGCCAGCAACGCTCAACCTTGACCTACTGTTTATGTTGTTTGCTCTAAGTTTATTTGTGACTTACCAAAAAAAGGATATGAAAACCATGAAATAACTTTTTAGAAAGTATTAAATACCTATTTGTGCTTCTGGACAGTCTTCCTGCATTTCTAGGACTTCAACAGGCTCGGGAGCTGGTGTTTCAGGAACTTGCAAAAATTCCATTCTCCAAAACTGAATTTAAGTAAATATAAAAAACCCAAACAAACAGTTAAACAGCTTTCAGAAACAATTTACATGGTACTGGATAAAGAGGGACTTTTGGGGTTAAATAGATAACTTAGTTTCTATTATTGCGCTGAGGTAGATTTCCCTGTATCTTCAAAAATGAGGCAGGAGACTGTCTACACATAACAGTGCTTCCCCAACTGTGTTCCATGAGATGTTAACGGGTGTTCCATGGTGGAGGGAAAAGGCTGTGGTCAAGTTTGAAAAACACAGCTCAACTAAGTACATTTTTCGTATCCTACAAAAGCCTCTCGGAGCCTGGTGTATATGCTCTAAACCTCCCAGAAGGCACACAGTAAGCGGGATCCCCAGTGGATTTGGCTGTGAGGTTTTCAGTAACATCTCACAGATGGACTGATCTGAAGTGCTGCTCAGGTACAGCAGCCTTGGGTACAGCCTCATGGTCACTCAGCCTACAACTGCAACCGTTAGGGCAGCAATTAGCTGCTCTCTGCTTTTGCATTTTGTTTTGCTGACCCTTTCTTTAATTTTACTTTTAGCTGTAAAATGGGTTTAAAAACTTTTTATATTGTATAATTGACATATTGTATTAGTTTCATATATACAACATGGCAATTCAACATTTATATACATTACAAAATGCTCACCATGATAACTAGAGCTACCACCTTCACCATACAAAGTTATTACAATATTACTGACTATATTTCTTAAGCTGTACTTTTTATCCCTGTGACTTAATTCATTTTGTAACTGGTAGTTTGTACCTCTATATCCCGTTCACGTATTTCTCCAACCCCATACTCCCATTCCCTCTGGCAATCACCAGTATTTATGAGTCTATTTCTGGGGTCTTGTTCTTTTGTTTTTTAGATTCCATCTGTGAGTGAAATCATATGGTACTTCTTTCTCAGACTTATCTTACTTAGCAGAATACCTTCTATGTCCATCTATGTAGTTGCAAATGGTGAGCCTTCATTCTTTTTTATGGCAGAGTAACATTACACTATATAGATGAACCACATCTTTATCCATTCATCTATCGATGGACACTTAATGCTGCTTCCTTATCTTGACTATTTTAAATAGTGCTGCAATAAACAGGGGTGCATAAATCTTTTCAAATTACTTTGTTTTCTTTAGGTAATTCCCAGAAGTGGAATTACTGGGCTGTATGGTTTTCCTGCTTTTAATTTTTCAGGAGCCTCCATACTGCTTTCCACAGTAGCTGCCCCAACTGACATTCCCACCAATAGTGCAGAAGGGTTCCCCCTTTCTCCATGTCCTTATCAACACTTTTTTTTTCATCATTAATCTACAATTACATGAGCAACATTATGGTTACTAGACTCCCCCCATCATCAAGTCCCCACCACATATCCCATTACAGCCTTATCATCACTTTTTTTTTGTATTTTTGACATTAGCCATTCTGATAGGTGTGAGGTGATATTCCATTGTGGTTTGATTCGCATTTCCACGATGATTAATGGCACTGAGCATCTTTTAATGTATCTGTTGTCTATCTATATGCCTTCTTTTGGAAAAGTATCTACTCAGGTTGTCTGTGAGTTACTCTCTGCTTTTACAAAGAGCACAGTTAAAGAAAACAGGCACAGAGAAAAATCTCCTGAGAGAGAAAAATGAAATATCTGAAAACCCTACAAAGGTAAATGTTCTGTGGATTCTATTTTCTGCAGAAGCCCAACACATAAAAAAACTAAGAAATGGATAAACTCTCTAGGATTCAAGTGAAATTATCTAGGATTCTAGACAGGGAATGGATGACCTGAGGCCTCTGGAAGTATTTTCTAGTTCTGTGAATCTTTGCAGAGAAGAGACGGTCCCTGTTTTCCCTATAAAGACATCTGATGAGCTGAAAAGCCAGTACTTTTACAATTTACACTTTTAGCAGTCCTCATGTGATACAGGAATCGCCTTTGGGTAATCTTCTGTGTTATGCTTTCAAATGGTCAGCTGCACTAACAGATCTACTTAATGGGAATAAAAGCAGCTGAGTCCCTAACATTCCCATCTATGTCTGACACAGTGACCAAGGCTTGTTTGGCTCTGAGTGACAGTTTGTAAATAATATTATAATCTGTTCCGGTATTTTCAGCTGTGGAAGTTGAAGTTGAACTGAGCTTCATGTTTCAGGTGAACTGACGCAGCAAACACCTAAGGCGTTTCCTCCCAGCTGACTTACCCGGACCACGCCATCTGAGTGTCCTGTTACTATGACGTTCTGCGTATCCCATTCGTTCATCTCTGACACACAGCAGCAGATGATCTGTTGGCTCCTACCTGTGAATGTGTTTACACTCACGATAGGGTTCCCATTGATGCTCCACACATGGATGTAAGTGCCAGCACAGGACACAATGTCCCCCTGTGAATGGAAGGAAAACTCTTCACACTTGTTGCTCCCTTCCTATCACAGTTCTTTTTCAGAAACAAATTCTATGCTTGGCTTGATATCAAAAACCTTAGTCATTCAACTAGCCACTGGGTACGTTCTGAGGTAGCCTGGAATTCAGTGCTTGCTGACTCAAAAAAATACCCTTGACAGAGGCCTCTTAAAGAATTCAAAGTTGAGTGGATGCTGTGGCCAAGGTGATCTCAAGTGAAAACAAAGGCAAGAGCACTTCTACTCTCAGTTTGTTCCCCAGAACACTGCTTAGTGATGTTTTTCCCTGTCAAAGTCATCTGCAATCTAAGGAGAAGAGCAACTACTCTTCTACCTCCCACTGTTTACAAAATCTACTTATACCTTTCATTTGGAGGCAGGAATCTATCTCCATTTAGTTTTACAAAATGAGTCTGACTACCAACATCACATGGTAGAAGAGAAATCTTTCAGTCAAGACACAGTTGTCTCTCTCTCTTCAATAAATGAAAAGAGAACCTTGGTAACAATATGTCCTTTTTGAAAATTTGTATTCACAGCAGTAGGGGGAATGAAGAAAAAAGAAAACTGGTATATTGGTCACTCCTTGGCCAACTGAATAAACCTTAAGACGCCCTGTGCTGATAACTCACACTTCCACAAGTTCCAAAGACAGAAAAGAACAAGCTTCTCCCTCAAGTTCTACCAGGTCGGGCTCTACCCAACCTGGTAAGAATACACCCACTGTTGTTAGAGGAATTAAGATACTTTCAATAGAATCTACTGAGTGACAGCTGGTGGGACAGACACTTTGACATTTCACTTCACACTCAGAATCACCTGTGAGATCAGCTATGACTAGCCCTGCCTCATACAGGATGAAACTAAGGCACAAAGAGCTTAAGTACCTGGCGTAATATCAAGAAGATGTGAACCCAGTTCTTTCTGGCCCCAAAGTTTACACACCATTCCATGCCACCGCTCCTTTCCCTCAGCCTGACTGCCGTGATGGTGGTACTGTCTTTAGGAATGACCTAGTGAATTTTAGCATAGCCATCAGGCAGACAAGAAATTATAGTAACTGGAAGATGATCATCAAACACAGAGGGAAACTAGAAGCTGAACAGCAGCACCAATTCAAGAAAGAAGCTACGGGGAAGGCAGAGGCGGCCTGATAAAGGGCCTGGGGCTTTTCCACACCACTGCCTGTGCCGATCTTGCTCCTGTTCTCTTCCCTCTGCTCTTCTACCAAGATGGCAAGAACCACACCAAAACACAAACACAAATAATACTGAGCAAAGCACTGCTGTGACCACCTGTCAGCCACTGAACCACCTCTGATGATGTCAGCAGCGGAGCTTTAAGCTGCTCCATGCTGCATGACGGCAGACTTGCTCCAGTTACTCCTCGGTGCCTCAACTAGAGTGCGTTAGAGCAAACCCTGTGGTTACGAGGGCTGAGCAGCAAGAGGAGGAATTAAGGGCAGCTGCAAAGCAGCTTAAGCCCAAAATGTACACTGAAGTAAAGTTGACTTGATATTGGCTATAAAAATACAACAGAAATAGGAATCTTTTCCTGAGTTTAGAGCTTACAAATGCATCTTAAAAAGGAAAAAGGAAACACTGCTGCAGTGTTTGCAGCAGCTGCGGCAATCCAGTGGGCGTGCGGTCACTCGCTGAACACCCACTGGGGAGAAAACTCTCCGTAGTTAGTTAAGAACCACCTCAAAACAAAGTGCTTGAAATAGTTCAGGTAAAGGACTGGACTTGGAGCATCACTGCCTGATCAGAGTGGTTCTGCTGCACTGACATTTTCATAAAGCTCTTAGGAATAAACGTTTGCAGGACCAACCAACAGGGTTTTTCTAAAAACACTGTAAACCTCTCAAATACACCCAGAGTGATTTGACTCTCTTACCCCTACTTACTGCCAACTCTGATCACTCCTACTCCTATCAGACGCTCCAGTGCGATTCACAAGAACTGATTTTCTCTTTTTCCTTTTACTGTGACTACAAGCATTTAATTAAAGCATAGTGCTTAGTATCTTCTGGTAGAAATTAAAGACGTAGCAACTCTCAAAAGGAAAGCTGTGTAGGTGATGATAGGATGGGGCTGGAACTACTCAGTGTCATGTGGCTGACTCTGAGCAGGGCTAAAGGTAAGGGTGGGAGTAGTATGTATAGCTAAGCAGTGATGGGGTGAGGGAGGGGCATGTTTTGGTTGATTTGCAAGACAGATCTGCACATGTGGGCTTCCTCAGTCTATGAAAGTGATGCCTGGTTCCTTGGACACAGAGATCTGTCTTCGTAAACCTACCCTTAGCTTGCCTGCACACTAAAAGGCATTAGCAATGATTACCTTCCCATTGCCCCACTTCAGGTGGGCTGGGTCTGCAGAGGGGCTCCTAGGCCTGTGCATTTATTTTATGATAAATTTTTATTTTATGAGACTTTTTTTATGTACTTATATATAAAATATTTATTTATGAGAAGAGATATCATTTGATAATTTCGGTATCTTTTTTGAAAATAATTCTATAATAATTTTTCTCGTTTGTGTACCCAAATGTTGCTTTTCATTTTACATAATAGTTTGAATATATTTATAAAAATTTCAACACAATTTTAACGTTCTGAACAAGTCCTACAAATGTGTTTTTAAAAAAGCCTATTCTAGAATTTTTGTTTTCAACAAAGTCTTGCTCTTTAATGTATGCAGCAATGAATGGATTTTAAGACAAAATTGCTCTCCAGATTACAAACTTCAATATCCATTTGCTTTTGCAAACAACATATAAATCAAGGAAAATGTAGTAGCTTTTATAAAACAAGTGCCTATCAACTTAGAAGACAGAGTCACTTTTTATTTACATTAGCCAAAACTACTTGTTTTCCTAAACATAAACCAAGTAGACAACTGATGACTTACTGTTAATTCATTGATACAAAGAGCAGAAACTGGAGCTCGGTGGCCTCGGAGCTGGGTTAGAAACGACAGTTTGTTCAGATCCCAAATGATACAGGTTCGGTCACGAGACCCGCTGACGATTATGTGATAGGCTAACGATGCTGTGGCACAGGTGACAGTGTCAGTGTGGCCAAGTAAGGCCTAGAAAGGAGAACAGAGAAACCAGGCTGGTCACAGGGACAGAGCTGCGGGAGGGATCCCTGAAGGTCGCGTGCACTGGGAGGTGACAGCAGCGCAGGGAAGGCGCAAGTGCGTGAGCAGGGCGGTCTGCCATCTTCCTTCTCCTCTCGCCCACTCTCCGAGCCTCATCCCACAGGGAGGAGAGAGAAGTCTAGGGGGGGCCTCTGGAGGCTCTACTCTCCATTTTTACATTACTTCGTTCCTGGACTTGTTCATTCCTTAGAAGGCAGGCAGAATAGCACTGCGACTCAGTGTGGGTTTCTCCAGGCCATTTTCACATGGGCGTGTATCAGTTATGGTCCCCAAAGCACAGATTTTAAACTCCGCATCAATTCTTTCATGCCATTAACTATTAGTCTTAAGAAACTACAACTGAGTTGATTTTTTAAAAACAAACAAACTGTGAGGACTATGGTCCTTCCTAGAGGAAATAGGTTCTTATGTGTCTTATGTGTCTGCTGAGCTGTTAATGAACTGGAGGCACCTGGGCATCTGCTGCACCCACGAGGGACAAAAACTTTTATGGTAAATTCACTCACAAACTAGAATAAGAACTCTTCCCTTTTGCTGGAATATGAAGAGAAACAGGATCCAAAGAAATGGCAATGTGGGAAAACACGTATTTTGAAGAAAAAGATTCAGATTCTGTTAGGAGTCTAAAATAATGAATTGGCTTAAAATTTTGGTTATACAGGTATCCTTATTGTATGCTTAGCAAATCCCAGGAGGGTTTTTAATAAGTGTTTTAAGTAAGAAGCGATTTTACTGAGGGTTATGACACACTAGCTTCAAAGCCTATTTTCTAAATTAAAAACATTATAAGCAGGAGAGTTTGGATCAACAAACTACACTGTCAACACTGCACCTGCTCTTCGGTACTGTATCTTTTTATGTGGTTTGTCTTTAGCTCCAGCAACCAGTGAAGTTCTGGCCTACAGAGATGGCTGATGGTGTTAAGTACAAGGGGTCCCATTTTTTCCACACATAGTTAAGACACCACTGTTTGAATTTGGCTTTAAAATAGCTTTGGAGTCACACAGGACTAAATTTACATCCTTGATTTTCCAAGTGTGACTTGGGCATTTGTCTTAACTACTCTAAGCTTTGTTTTATTTTTCAGGTACAAAAAGGGCTAATCACTACCTTGCAGGATTGGATTGGAGTTTTACATTTATAAACACCCAGCACAGTGGGTGTTCAATAAATGGTAGATATTATGATACAAATTAAAAAACAGATGTATATGCCATTAAATAAAAAACTTTATGGTAAATTCACTCACAAATCAAATATTAAAAGTTGATAGCCTAATTATAAAAGGAATCTTGCTTTAAGTAAAAATTTATAATAGTCAGTACAAAGTGATCAAAAGTACATATTCTACTGAATACATTCATGAGTTTTTTATGTCCTTAAGGGAAAAATGAAACTATCAAAGATTTAGTGAAAAGAAATTAGTTGAATCAATAGCAAATACAATTTTGTTTGCAAAAGTTCTATTTACATATAACTTCTGAGAAATACTTAATATATTAAAATATATATTATCTAAAATATATACTAAAAACATATACTTCAGCTTGCTTCAAATATTAAAAACAGACCAGCTTAGATCACTTTTAGAAATAGTGTCTTCTGATTTCATTCCCTTTTTTTTTTCCAGACCATAAAAAGAACATATATTTTGGTTTTGGCCATTATGTCTATATTACCCTGGAATTATGGAAGCTTTTTAGTTTCTCTAGAGTGTAGGCCGTGGAGACGGAACACATCCCTCCTCCATATGCTCTGTTACCTGTTTGAGGGTGAGGGCCTTCGCCTTCTCCTTGGAGGTGCCCATCTCCCACACACACACCACTGTGCTTGTTCCACCCGTGATGACCAATTTGGGGTTGGGGCAGATTGCACAGAGAATCTGGCCCCACTCAGACAAACATTCGTAAACAACCACTGCCTGTAGAATGAAACAGATGTAAGACACACATGCCGCCAAGTACTACAAACTCGTGAAACACAAGGAGCATATTGAGTGAGGGGAAGCCTCTCTGCAGGCACATCGCCAGCAAACACCCCTGGACATCCTGGGCTGGTTTCACTTTAGCAACATTTCTGCTGGGGCTCTCCTCTGGACAACCCTCTACAGCCTTCCAACTCTAGTTACTGCTAAGCACTGTAATGAAAAGGGCTTTGCTCATAATGGGGTGGGTCTCAAGTTTCCCCAGTCTGGGGAAAATGCTGTTCAGATGGTGTGATATTATGTAAACGCAGGTGATAACCTGGTAAAAGGATGTGTCTGCTGTACCAGTCAGAATGTAGAAGGAAAGCATCACAGACACTGTCTACGAGAATGTTAACTAAACAGAACTGTTAACAGTGTAACACCCAGACTTGCACAGACTACACGCCTAAGGCATCCAGGAAGGGACTGTCAGAGGGCAAACGCAGGACACTAAAGGACCACTACAATCTGCCTCTCCATGAGACATGTACAGACTCTGTTGCTTGGGGAGGGGGGTGACAGGTTTTCTCCAGCCACTTGAGAATACTGACATGCTAAGTGGGCCAGATGTGACTCACCAAAAGGAGGCTCTTTTGGTTGGCAGAAATGCTGAATACCTGCTGGTTAAAGCCTTCTGGAGGAATTCTTTGAGCGGGAAGGAAACTGCCAGCCCCTGGGATACAACTTCCCAAAGGAAGCCTGTTCCGCAGGAACATGCCTTGTGCACTCGCTACTTCACCCGGATGTGATGCAGGGACGCCCTACTTCCACTGGGCTGGGGAGGAACAGCCGGCAAGCCCCTGGCCTGGACTTACCCACCCCCATTAAGCAGGATAAGATGGGACTGAGTGAGTGAGCAAGAAATAGTGCAAACCTTGTCTGACTCGTAGGTTCCCAGCCGGCAGCTGAGGTCTGCATAGCCCCAAGCCAAAGTTTTGTTCCAGGTTGGTGGGATGAGAACCTTATTCTGTTCGACTGCAAGAATGCCTTTGTCTGTGCACACTATCTGTCCCACAGGCTCTTTGAGCTCTATGAAAAACAAATCAACACCTTTAGAATATGGACAGGTAACATGAACTTCATTATCCCACAGTGGATGGTGAGGTAATCTCCAGTGTTCATACAAATCAAGCACGCTGACACCTACATGAAGACAAATTGACCTTAGAGGTAGAGCCTGGCTTTTGAGTCTCTTGCAGGACCTGCGGGGTGGATGCTGACCCTGACCGCTGTTCTGCGGGGCTTCCTGCCGTCTGGACACTCGTGGGTTTGGCTCCCAGCGAGCAAGCCTGCTTTCTTGATCATGAGGATGAGCACACTGTGACCTGCGATGCTCCCCAGGATGCCACACAAAGACCTGCCATCAATCCAGGCCTTGAGCACATCCTAAGTTGTACCCAGTCCTCAGACGTCCTAGAGGAAGGCCATGACATTCCCCAAGAGCCCAGAAATCTGCTGATCACACCAGTGCTCCAGTGCTGGGCAGTGACCAAAGTGGCACAGGGCAGGGCCTATGTAATGAAGCAAAATGGCATAGAGGTGGTAGCCAATCCAATTAGACTTTGACACTACACTTTTTGGATTTAAATGACAACTTCAAAACTTTGTAAAACATTTTTTCACTCTAAAGGGAAAAAAAATCTACTTGAAAAAGTACCTTTAGATAACTCATGTTAACAGTTAAAAGACGTCCTGAGTTGGCATATTAAAAATGCAGTCTTCTTATGGCTATTTCCAAATTGGCAGAACCTATATATGTGAAGACAACAGAAGTTTTTCTACATAATTAATATAAAGTTGAGCTTTAAGATTGGTATATTGGAGTTTTCACTATGTTAGCAAGAAGAAGAAACTGGTTTGGTTCCTTCTAATGAAAAATTCAACAGGCCAAAAAAAGAAAGCGAAAGAAACAGGACGAAAATCTAACAAGTATTTGGTGATTTATCACAGAAAGTCTAACACTATAAATTACAGTACTGTTCAAGAGCAAATATGTTATTGCTAAACTAGGATTATTAAACAATCCCACAGAATCATGAATCAAAAGCTTATTTCCTCTCATCTTACCCTTGACAGGTGTGAGAGAAGGCCTCAAGTTGTCTAGATGATGGAAAAAGATCTTGTCACTTGTAGATCCTGGCAGGACAGAGACTCCTGCATTGTCTCCGTTGAGTCGACTCCTTACTCGCTTTGGTGGGTGAGGCTTTTTAAATAACTGGTATGAGAGAAGGTGACACATTTTATAATGAAAGCTAACATTTATTAAGCCCTTTATAGTATGTGCCAATATTATGTTGTTATTTCATTTAAACTTCACAACAACCATGAGGTACTGTATTACCACATTTGACATCTGAGGAAAGGAATTTAAAGAGGCTCAGAAGGTTGCCCGAGATCTCAGACCGCAGGAAGTAGGGACAGAGCTATGACCCTAAAAATCTGGATTCACATCATGGTCTATGCTGCTCTGATTTCATGATAACTGTTTAAAAGTAAGCCACTCTAACTCAAACTGTAGTCGACTGACAATTATTTCCAATGATGTTCAAAAATTCATTAGTTCTTTATAGCCTGACACTTTTCTGTGCCACTGAGGGCAGGCAGGCATTCTCTCTAATTGGCCTATTTCTGGCTTCAACCTGGCCTTTCTCTGTGCCACTTCATTTTGGTGTCTTTTAGGTGCTACTAATTTGCAAAAACTGTCAACACTGTTGCCTTCTTTTATGCAAAACTGTAAAGGAGAAAAAGGAAGTGCAACCTTTTCTACAGGATTAAAATGAAACAATGTACATTTAAGATTATTATTTTTCAAATACTATATAGTTCTTCAAATTAGGCATAGAGTCACTTCTGTTGGAAAACTGGTATTCAAGGGAAGATCTTTAGAAAACTTTAGATGAAATGAAATTTAAGATGACTGCAACACCATCACACTCTGAATTTGACATTCTGGATTTCTAGGAGAAAAAAATGCTTTCTATAGAGAAATATATATATTTTTTAGGCACCCAAACCTTTAAATATATTGTTCTTATTTTATCTACATGCAGGGGCAAAGAGTCAGAGTTCTTTTATTTTTTATAAATGTTAACAATGACACAGACTCTGAAGTTGTATAAAAAGGTCCATATGCTTTAGAGCATGTTTATGAATGAACATTTATTGTCGAACTTTTATATGAGGACCTAAGGTGGAATCCTATGCCTGGACAGATGTATAAAGATGAATGGAAATGGTGATCATAAAACCTAGATTTTCTAGGATGGCTACACAGTTCACCCTTGAATAACATGTGTTTGAACTGCGAGGGTCCACTTACACACACATTTTTTTCAATAATTACATTTGATAATTTTTTGGATATTTGCAACAGTTTGAAAAAAACATTTTTTCTAGCTTACTTCGTGGGAAGAATATAGTATAATGCATATAACATATAAAATACATGTTAATCAACTACTTACGTTATGATAAGGCTTCCAGTCAACAATGAGCTATTAGTAGTCAGGGAGTCAAAAGTTATATGTAAATTTTAGACTGCACGGGCCGTCAGCGCCCTTAAACTCCTGAATTGTTCAATGATCAAATGTACTTGGAAGTACTACTAGTAACTGGAAGGTCTGGGAAGTGTCGGCATCCACTGTTAGCTCCCAGGCCAAAAAGTGGAATAAAAATCCCGTGACAGTGCATGTCTTGATCTTTTTGTTCAGAATATTTGTGTCAGAGTTCAAAACAGTTTCCTGTGCTTGTAACCCTCAGAAAAAAGAAAAGGTTTAACTACGATTCTTCAGCTATGATCAGTTTATCACAAGCACTTTGCTTTAAAAGTGGATATGGCTCTTCCCTTGGCAGACAGACTGCAGTGTGAGTGCTGCTGTTACAGGCCACCCCACCAGCATGGCTTCCCCATGGAAAGGCTGGGCCATTGTTCTGTGTGCTCCCAACCTGCACGCCTGCAAACCTACGGAAAAGGAGTCCAGGAGAGAGCTCTGAAGCAGGAGCAGACAAGGACAGCTAGGGCCAAAGCACAGAGCCCACAGCACTGGGAAGGTGAGTGGTTTGAATGGACCAGCAAAGCATGCCTCCTCCATACTGCCCTGGTCACTCCTGGCAGGCCCTGGACGTGGGGATGAAAGAAAGGCTGGTGCCACTTCACCAAGCATGCTCATGACTAGCAGTGAGAAACTACAGCATCTGGGTGCTCAGAGGCTGAGCTGCTGGCTTTCCTCTCCAATGCCAAGACGTTCGTTAGACAGCTAGCGCAGGACTGGCTTCAGGCATTCCCGTGGCATGTATGCTCCCTTCACAGCAGTTCCACCCACAGCAATAATCCAGTCCAACCTCCACTGTCTGTTCCCTGAACCACTGTAAGAGCTTCCTGGATAGACTCCTGCTCCCAATTTGGCTCCCCTACAGTGTGTGCCTGTATGAGACTAAAGACAGAATGGTCTTCAGAATCTAAACATGAACATGTCATTTCTCTGCTTAAACTGAGCCCTGGCTTCCCAACGGCCATGGGACAAAACCCCATCTCTGTGTATTCTGTGGCCCCCGAGAACCCATCTGCTTCCCTGACTGTGCTCTTCTTCTCGTCCTCCTGCCAGGTCTCTGCAGACACAGGAAAGCATGTAAGGTAAAATACTCTTTTTAAAAAGAGCCATAATCTAGGAACTTGGACATAGTCCTTCATTAAAAACTTAGTCTAAACTTAGTTATTATATGATCATTCATAACCCACAGAAATATTACAGAGTTTAAAAAATGAAGAGATCATTAGTGGTAACAAAAGAACATCCATACCTGTTTAGGGATCTGACCAAAGTTATTAATGAACCCTATGGTGGCTGTCTCCTTTAGTGGGTCATTTATGTTGTAGATATCCACTTGACCCTCATAAAAAAGATGATGGAAGACATTTACAGCTTCTACTGCAGCAGGGCCTTGCTGTTTATAGCCAAAGATTAAGTCAATCCACTCATGCAAATGGGCACTCACATAATCACATTCCAAAGCCTGTAATTTCAAAAGACAGGTTCAGTTATAGACTAACTTTTATTACTTCTTCAGAAAGTAAAAGAATTGGCCAGTGGTCAAGAGAAACTAGAACAACTAAAAGTCATAAAACAATATTAGTAACTTGAAAAAACAAGGGATATATTGTTCAAGGTCTTCTCTTTGTATCGTGGGTGATGACCCAGGGAGATCTAATCCCAGCTGCAGAGGGCACTCCCATTACCTCGCGGTGGACTCTGATGAATTCTCGTGGGTCTCCTTTTGCCCAAGGTGGGAGGATGACATCTCCAAGCTTGGTGCCATTTTGTTTACAGCCTGTGTAATTGGATACAAAAAGAAAAGGAAAGGATGGGATAAATGATAGCTTCACATTAAACTAACATAGAAATAGTGGGTTAGATTCATTACCAGAACTATGAAATTTTATCACCAGAAAGGACCCTTGGAGGTCATCTGCTCTGGTATTTCCTTAAGACTGCTCCTTAGAGAATTCCCTCAGAGAGACTAGTAAATGTCAGCAGAACTGAGAGGCCCCCACTGTCAAATCAACTTAGGAAAATGCTGAGTTATGTAAATTTAAATACCTTTCTTCCTACAAGATTCCTCGGAGGCTCTGCCCCTCTCTAGAAGGGATATTAGACCAATCCTTCTGAAATTTAATTGATCACAGGATTCCTTTTTAGGGAAACATTCTGTGGGGCTAGTGTTTTGTTTGGAAAAAACACTCAAATTCAATCCCCTCAGGACTGCTCATTTACCATTTCTCTAAAATCTTCTTTCATTTAGATTTTTCAGAATGCTTAAGGCTTGGTGAGTCATGAGCAGGTAACCAGTACTGAACTTCCTGTCTTCATGTTTTGGCATAATTTTGCCACTCACATCAAGGAAGTACTGAAGGTTGCCTACCTCCTTGGTCATTTTCAGTGTGAACACTATCTTAGGAGGAAATGAGAAGTACCACAGTCTCATAGAGATACCTGTAATACACATGCCTTCTTGTATTTCCGAATTTTAAATTCTTAAGAGATTTCTGTAGAACTGACATACATTTTGCTATAAGGATTCTCATTAAAAAGATAAAATCTGAAACATAACTTTTTGCTGTTGGTATATCATTTAACAGGAAAAACCCTTGGAAAGGTGTGGGGACTACCTGGCAGAAACAATTCATATCAAGTGGTATTTATTCCATGTAATTTGCAATTCTGAGTCATAGCCAGATAATTTCTAACATATTAAAGAAGCCATCACCTAGGAAATCTATCCACAACAAAACACATTAAATGGGACTGGCATCTGATAAAACAGGTTCTTCTTCTTTTTTTAATGTAACAACAAAAAGTTAACTTCAGCTTATACTTTTCCTAGGCACAAACCAGACAATCATTGTAAAAAGATGACTCTATAAACAGTAATGCTGACTCACTAGCTTAATAGAAGTTGGCTAAATAAACAGTTGTATTAAGAATTTTCATGTCTATTTCAAGTGCAACTGTTCAAATTTTAGAGGACACAAAGGCAGTTCTAAGTGAGGGCTGATAAAAATATTTCCCTAAAAAATCTTGTTTTCATCGTTATTTGATTGCTTATTTATAATGTGTATTAAGTGATAGACACAAAAAGTAGTTTACTATTTAAAGGAATGTTTTGACTTGGATGGAAAAATTACCCTATGACTTAAGAAAAAAAAATAGCCCCTCCCACCCTTTCACAGCTCACTCCAATCCCCTTGAAATGCCCTTGAGGCTTAATTATTTTTATAAGAAGCAAGTAATAATCCCCAGACTACCTGAGATATAATCAACTTAAAAAATTTTTGCTCATACTCCCTAAATATCTGTAATATGATTTTATTTTATCAGCACTATTTGCAATTTTAAATGTCATTTAAAGGGAACAGTCCATAGAAAACCCTGGGTCTGATTGAGATCCCCTGCAGCTCCCCTTCATGTATAGCCAAGGCTGTAAAGACCAGAAGACCAAGGGGGTATGTTACTTATTGCAGACACAGGATAAAAACCCAAGTGCTTTTTCTTTCACATCATTTACTATCTTTTCCATATGGAGAGCCACAGCGCTTTTTGTTTTATTTTTTTAACTTAAATTCAATTTACTTAACATAAAATCAGCCATTTTAAAGTGAACAATTTAGTGGCACTTAGTACATTCACAATGTTGTGCAATCACCACCTCTATCTAGTCCTAAAACATTTTCACTACCAAGAGAGAAATCTTGTACCCATTAAACAGACAATAATCATTCCTCTTGCCCCCAGTCCCTGAGAACAACCAATTTGTACTCTGTGTCTGTTACCTATTCGGGACAGTCCATATAAATGACATTATACATTCTGTGATGTCGTGTGTCTGGCTTCTGTTGCTGAGCATATTGTTTGTGAGAATCATCCATGCTGTAGCACTTATCAGTATTTCAGACTTCGTACAGCTGAATAATATTCCATCATATGTATGTTCCACAAGGTACCCACTGATAAACATATGTATTGTTTCTATCACTTGGCTAGTGTGAATTATACTTCTATGAACACGTGTGCACGTGTTCTTGCTTGAGTCCCTTTTCAGCTCTTTTAGACATATACCTCAGTGTGGAAATGCTAGGTCATATGGTAATTCTATGTTTAACTTTCTGAGGAACCATCAAACTGCATTCCACAGCAGCTGAACCATTTTATATTCCCACCTTCAATATACGAGAGTTCTTTCTCCACATTCCCACTATTCCTTATGATTTTGTTTGTGTGAGTTTTCATTTTTTTATTATCGCTATCCTAATGTATGTGAAATGGTACCTCACTATAGTTTTTTTTATTAAGGTATCATTGATATACCCTCTTATGAAGGTTTCACATGAGAAACATTGTGGTCACTACATTCACCCATATTATCAAGTACACCCCCCGCACCGCCCCACTTAAATCACTGTCCACCTGTGTATTAAGATGTGATAGACTTGCCCCTGCTTGTCTTCCCTGTGACCCCCTTACATTGTGTCTGGTAACCATAATGTTCCTTAATCGCCTTCTCCCTCCCTTCACACCCACCCTCCCTAGTCCCTTTCCCTTTGATAATTGTTAGTCCATTTTTCGGTTCCGTGAGTCTGCCACTGTTTTCTTCCTTCAGTTTTGCTTTGTGGTTATATTCCACAGATGAGTGAAATCATTTGGTACTTGCTTTCTCCACCTGGCTTAGTTCACTGAGCATAATACCCTCTAGCTCAACCCATGTTGTTGCAAGTGGGAGGATTTGTTTCCTTCTTATGGCTGAATAGTATTCCACTGTGTATATATACCACCTTTTCTTTATCCATTCAACTACTGATGGATACTTGGGTTGCTTCCGTATCTTGGCTATTGTAAATAGTGCTGCAATAAACATAGGGGTGTACCTGTCTTTTTGAATCAGGGATCTTGTTTTCTTCTGTCAAATTCCTAGGAGTGGAATTCCAGGGTCAAATGGTATTTCTATTTTTACTTTTGTGAGGAACCTCCATATTGCTTTCCACAATGGTTAACTAATTTACATTCCCACCAGCAGTGTAGGAGGGTTCCCCTTTCTCCACATCCTCGCCAGCATTTGTTGTTCCTTGTCTTCTGGATGTTGGCCATCCTAACTGATGTGAGGCAGTATGTCCTTGTAGTTTAAATTTGCATTTCCCTGATGATTAGCGATGTGGAGCATCTTTTCATGTGCTTATTGGCCATTCAAACTTCGTCTTTGGAGAAGTGTCTGCTCAGATCCACTGCCCTTTTTTTTTTTTGCTATCATTAATCTACAATTACATGAGGAACATTATGTTTACTAAACTTCCTCCATCACCAAGTTCCCCCCACATGCCCCATTGCAGTCACTGTCCATCAGCATAGTAAGATGCTGTAGAATCACTACTTGTATTCTCTGTGTTGTACAGCCTTCCCGGTGCCTGCCCCCCGCCCCCATATTATGCATGCTAATCATAATGCCCCCTTATCCCATCCATCCTCCCTGGTCCCTTTCCCTTTAGTAACCGTCAGTCCATTCTTGGGTTCTGTTAGTCTGCGGCAGTTTTGCTCCTTCAGTTTTTTTCTTTGTTCTTATAGTCCACAGATGAGTGAAATCATTTGATACTTGTCTTTCTCTGCC